TTACTTAGCTACTTGCTATGTTGCTTGCTTGCTTTCGATCATTACTTGAAGATAGTAGTCAGCAGCAAGTGGGTAGTAGCAAGCGGCATGCTCTTAGAAAAGATCATCGTCATAGTCCGTGGGACGCGTGTGAATCGACTTTATATCTTTTGACAAAGCCTACCCCAGAGACGTAGAAAAAGAAGATAAGAGAAGCTTGCCTTCATGACAAAAGCTATTCCGCATGCGAATGCAAAAGAAAGATCGAACCTTGTGTGTACCTTGTTCTATCTACCACTAGTTTACTCTACGAGAAAACATCCTCGCGCCTCTGTCTTTCCAAGAGAAAATGAGAGAACGAAGGGAACTGAAATAACTTGAACGCGCTTTTGTGCGTGTTCGTATTTCTCTCTCTCTCTCTCTCTCTCTCTCTCGCTCTTTTTCTTTCTAACTTTCAAATGTATCTACAACACAACATGCGTGGGGATTCTCTTCGGGCCACACCTTCAGAGGCATGCGATGCGCCGTTGTGGCTATGAGAGACTGGTCGACATGTAAATTCGTAGACGTAAAACTCTAAGCCGCAAGGCAACTATAGAAAAAGAAAGAGAGAGAGAGAGAGAGAAAGACTAAAACGGAATGCATATGACCGAGCTACCGAAAGAAGGACAAAAAAAACAGATACGAGTTTCGATTCGCCAAATGTCATCGATTATTTCAAAATATTTGTTATTTCTTCATCATTTAATGAGAAATAACTAATTAATATAAATGTTGACGATAAAAAACTTTTGAAAGAGATATTAGTTTCGAATATATTACGACGATATTTTGACTTTCATCATGATAATCTTAGAGTAAAAGTAATTTTCTAACATAACTTGCACAAAGCCCGACGACTATTCGAAGATGAATAAAGAAACAAAGAGAGAAAGAGAAGAGCCTTGAAAATGAGAAAATTACAGCGTCAAGTCCATCTAAACGTTGATTTGGAATGGCGCGAATCGTGCATAGACGTTCATAGACTTCGTCGTCGCGGTTTACGTTCCTTCTTTTCTTCGTTTATACGTTATTCGTGAGGAAGGTGCGGTACCGCACAAACACGTCCACGTGCGTACGCGCTAGTCTAACTTCTTCTTTTTCCCTCTCTCTCTCTCTCTCTCTTACTCTCGGAGGGTTACGTAATTCGGAGAGAAGAGCACGCGGCCCCGGAGAAGCGAGCGGTGACGACACCTCCTCAACAGACAGAGAAAGAGAGTGGAGAGAGATCCGGGAGTGTCCACTCTACGTCGATGTGTACTCTCTCTTCTTCTTCTTCTTCTTCTTCTCTCTTTTCTTCTTAAGAAACGACCCAGCCCTCTCGCCAGGCCCTCGTGCCCAGCCCACGTTCCACGAAGAGACTTCAAACAACTATGTATGAAAGAGAAAGAGAGAGAGAGAGAGAGAGAGAGAGAAAGTAAAAGAAAGAAATCTTCTACCTACAGGATAAAATCACGAGAAAAAAGGAGACAGAAAAAAAGTCCGGTCATTTTTTTTTTTTTACTCGTAATACGAATCTAAATTTTCTCGAGAAAATATATGTCTAAACGAAGTTATAAAAAAAAGATAGTTTTAAAATATCCTTTGCTCATCGATTTACCTACTTACCCAGATTTCAAAATAAGAAATTTTCTAGAAATTAGAAAATTACAAGTATTCAATATTCAATGTAACAATAATAAAAAAAAGTCCACGTTTACATTTTGTAGATGCAACCGCCGATTTGCCAAGTCCGTCGAAAAGAATCGTAAAAGTAACCTCGACAATTCCTATTTCTATGCGTCCTAGTTTCTACTTCTACATACATACTTAACTACCATTAGATCGTGACAGAAAGGATCGTTTTAAGTTTCATTCGAGGATTTTCAAGATATCTTTATTTGAAAGAAGAGAGGCCAAAAGAATCGTAAAAACCGAAGCAAGAAATAGACGATATTTCAATCACCGTAAGATCTATCAAAAGAGAATGGAGATAGAAAAAAAGACAGAAGAGAAAAGATATAAAATAAAGAGAGAGAGAGAGAGAGAGAGAGAGAGAGAGAGATAAAGAAAAAGAGATATAGAGAAAAACTTCTATCGAAGACAGAGAAGAGGTGACAGTCTCACGATTTTACATAAGGAAATCGAAGCAAAGACTCGTTATTTCGACATTGACGCTCGCTCTCGGACTCTAGTGTCGATCCCCTTAAGTGACCAGATCTCGGCTCACTCGGCACGAACACACGTTCGGTTTATCCTTTGGCTTGGGATCCCACAGTCTGTCTAAACGGCTGCCTTTAACGGACACCCCCGTACCTGCAAAGACGTCTCTACGTCTCGACTACGACTACAGCTACGACTACGGCAACGTTTACCGCTGAACAGATAGAGAGAGAAACAGAGAAGAAGAAGAAGAAGAAGAAGAAGAAATAGAAGAAGAAACAGAAAAGAGAAGAAAAGAGAAGAGAAGATTCCACGGCTGCCAAAGGTAGGCGACGAGTTAGCTGCTAAGTATCACGAAGCAACGTTGGAATCCCGACTTGACTATCGGAAGCGATCGCGAAATCTCTCCAAGCAATAATTTAACCCTTTTCGTTTAATCCACCCTTTCTTCTTTTCTTAATCTTTTCCACCTTTACCGTTTACCTTTTTCTTCTTCTATGTTGTTTATTTTTCTAAAGTTAAACTAAAGTGCTTAAGAAAGAACAAAGAATAAACCGCGACGTGTAGTGCATGCATAGACGTGTGAGAGACTAGAAAAAGATAAAACAATTGCTGAGCTAGCAAGAACTAAAGTAAAAACAAACGTCCCGTTAGATTTGCAGTTGACAGGAATTCCTTTGGAAAATGGCAACAACCATATCGTACCGCCGATGAACCCACTAAGATATCCCACCTATCGTGTTCACGCTTTTTACGTTTATACCTCTCGTGCGAGAAAACTATCTTCTATTTTATTTATGTCTGTCCGTCTCGTTCTCTCTCGCGATTTCATTTAAATGATTATTCTATGAAAATAAGATCAATCGAAAGAAAAATCGTTGAGGAGGAAAGATTTAGACGTTGAAAGCTTGTCCAAGATCGAAAGGAAAAGCATTAAGCGGTTAACAAGATGGTACAAGCTCTATGTCGAGGTTTCCTACACACGAGCGTGGACGCGAGCAAGCCGCGAGAAATATTGCTTTCGTGAACATCGTGGCCTGTACACGTCGTTCGCAGTTACTGGGTACCTCTCGCGGTAATATCGCATTGCGGAGGAACCGAGATAGAGAAAAAGCTGCTGCTGCTGCTGCTGCTGCTGCTGCTCCTACAGAAGAAGAAGAAGAAGAAGAAGTAGAAGAAGAAGTAGAAGAAGAAGGTAGAAGAGGAAGAGAAAAAGGAGGATGGTCGAGATTAGTTCCGATTGCCTCTGCACTGGAGAATTATAGAAGGGTTGCTTGGTTCTCTTCCACAGCTAGGCATCGATCCCGGCTACCGGCTTCTACCCGTTAATGAGTCATGTTTAATTGGCGTGGGAAGCCCGCGGGTCCGTACGTCCACGTAACGGAATTGAACCGTACCTTGATGCGAAAGCGTGCTTGCACGGACGTTAAAACCCCGTGTCCGTGCTAGATGCCAGATGGCGTGTCCATAGCTTTGCAATCCTTATCCAACCAACTACTCTCAACATCCTTCTATTATTAGTCTTTTGTAATCTACTACTCTTGCCTGCTGTTACAATTCTTTTTCTTTACCTTATTATTCAACCGATCGTTACACAGATTGTGCTAATCCTATTTTACTAATCCTAAGTATTATACATGTATACCATTCTAAAGAATTTTGATCGATTTTCTTGATAGAATATGTAATTCGAATCACCACGAGAAACAAGAACCATGCGAGCCATGGAAATTGCGATTTCTTTCGTTCAAGGAAGTAGATGCTGGTACGTAAGTAGACGATGATGTTCAACGACAGATGGTACCCGATGCTCAGCAGCGGCGGCTGTCTTTGACAATATACTATCAAGTTATATTATCAAGAAACATTCGCGCGAAATATAACAACCCTAAGCGTTAATCGTACACCCAACGATCGGTTATAATTCACCTTACGGAATTGCCTCGACGTTTTATTACCTTCGCGAAAATCAAGCTGACTAATTGCTATGCTAAAAAACGTTTATACCTAGATCAAGTGTAAGCAAAAGCTGTCAAGTTTATCGTTAAATTTACCCTTAATTATACACATTTATTTAATAAAATTAATATTTAAGAAAATATATTATAAAGTTAAGCTGTAGCTTGAAATAAAATAATATATTTATCTCAGAAAGATTGATACAAAAAAAATATATATATATGTGTATATAAAGTAAATCTTTCTAAGATTGCGGCAAAGGTAAAAGAATATCAGCGAAAGATCACGCGTCTAAATCGACACCTCGATGCAATGTCGACGTTAATCGTCTTTCCGGCGACGACGTGCCGACACGCAGTGGTTCTTGCTAAGCGTGCTAATCCCCTATTAGTAGTAACCCGATGTATGTACGTTAGACGCGTCGAACTCAACGTGTTCGACTTTACGATTTGGGTGCCATCACGTACTAGCGCGGAATCGAGCGAGTTTCCATTCAAGGTGGACGATCGACTTTTACTCGCATGCTCCTTCCATCTTGACGTTTCTCGGAGGTCCCTACCATTTTCGAAATGACCTCTTAAAACAAATTGACAAATATCTCGCATGATAAATAATTATTGCAATTATAATCGGTTTTATTAAAAAATAACTTTTTTTTGTTAATAATATAAATGTTATATTAAATATTGTAACAATCTGTAGTATTTTATGAGACAAATTCCTACTGCATTGTAAAAAAAAAATTAAGGTAAATAAAAATCATCTCCTAAAATGGAACTCGCAAAATAAGATAATAGCCGTGTAGAGTGAGGATCTTAACAATGTAAGTAAAAATAAGTAAATGTTATATAAAAAGGATAAAAATAAAAGAAAAGGCTTACCTCCCTAGACGTCGGTGCCCCCAGGACGCAGGGGCTGTCCGGGCGGCGGGGCGCGCTGGCCCACCGCTTGCTCGAGAGCTCGCTCTCCTCCTGAAACAATAAACGTGACCTGTAATTAGACAAGACGAAGGTAAAGGTGATAGGCGGTGTGTTCTGATGAGCACTATTATAGCAATCTTAATGGCCCTCCTTGGTAACACGAAATTGCTCTTCGTAGAAAATTAGCGAGAAGAAAGAAAATGACGAGAGTATTTGCGAGATAAACATTTACTTTTAATATCCTCATCTAAACGACATTTTATATTAAAATATTTTACACCACGAATTTTAAATAAATAAATAATATTAATATTCGTAATCAAATGTCAGTATGTATCATGTATTATCAATTTTACAATTCAATTTATCTTAAAATAGAAATAATTTGTGTAAATAATATAAGGAATAAAAGGATTCTATTTAAATCGCGTAATTTGAAAACTAATGGCGTACTTCAAGTTACATATTATAAGATTAAAATCATAAAATATTTTCGAATGACTCGAAATATTGTCGGCAAAAGGTTTACTTTAGTCCGTTACAACGTAATTCTCTCTTAGAGAGCTCGCACACGACACACTAATCTACTCTTTCTCTGTTTCTCTTTTGTGGCAGTTACGAGTCTACTACTCGCTATTGCGAGTGCACATCATCTCTCGAGTGCGCACGCGAGCGCAGTTATTAAAACGTTAAAACAATTACGCTTTTCTAGCGTGACGAGCGAGAACACGCGCTCTCGACATACGCGAACTCTAAATGTCTGTTTTCTATGAGCTTTTAGAGAGATATGAGGCAACGAAAGAGAAAATGCAATGTAAGAGTCAGAGAGAAAGAAAGAGAAAGAAAGAGAGTAATTGCATCGTCTCTTCTTATCGTCCTTCTTCTCTTCCTTCTCATCCTCTTCCTCCGGGTCGTCGTCGTCGTCGTCATCGTCGTCGACGACGTAACGTAAAAGAATAAGAAAAAGAAGAAAAAGAAGAAAATGCAAGTATTATGATGCCTGTGCTGCTGTGCTGTGCTGTGCTGTGCTTTTCTATACAGTGCTTTCGAGAAACGTCCCATGGACCACCCGTACGTCCGGTGATAATGAACCGATCACGAGGGAATTGAAAACCGTCCGTCCCCATTCGCGAATCGATAAATTATTTAGATGTTACGCGGTAAAGTCAAGGAAAAGCTAGATAAAAGTAGTTGATGGGCACGCTTTGCTACTACGTTCTCTGTCATGCGCGCTTCTTTTTTCACTGGACGAGTGTCATCTCGAGAGAATTATTTCTTATTTATTCCTTTCTTTATACGTACGTTCATATACACATACATAGAGGACTCAACGATATCCCTCGGGGCTGACAACTTGTTTCGTTCGAAGATAAGAGAACGATCGTGATCTTGCGAAAAAGAGAGAGAGAGAGAGAGAGAGAGAAGAGAAGAGAGAGAAAAGAGAGACAGAGACAGAGATTATATAAAAGATTCACTCGCACGCTCCACGCGTCTTTCTTCTTTCTTTCGACCGATCGATACGCGAAACTTTAACGTGCCGACGACGTAATCGACATTTCCCTCGTTTTCTACGTTCCCAACGATATATGACTCGTCTCGAGATATCGATCGATCTCCCGACCATTTTCAAACCGATTTATTTTTGCGAACCTAGCTTACGAGCTAGTACTACACGCTTTTTATTACGTTCCTATGTCTCGTATAGCAATAGAAAAATACAATCCAGTCTAAATTATTATTTCTGTACGTACACGTATCTATATCGAAACGTAATACTCGATACCTGTGTCTAGTATAAATCTCGAGGAACGACCTAGATTATCAAATTAATTAATTACTTTTTATATCTTTTAATTTTTTTTTAGTAGAAAAAAAAATAAATTCTCTTCTAAATTTGATTTTATTATTTTTATATTATATTTAATAATTCACAAAGAACCAAACGATCACCGTGCGTAACGAAGAGGATGAAATTATAATACATACAAAATCCTTATGATGATGATGATGATTATTATTATTATTATTATTATTATTATTATTACTATTATTGTTATTATTATTATTATTATTATTGCATAGATTGCGTTATACATATTGCGTTTAGGATATTGCAACGCTCGCATTTTACTTTCTCCGCAGGATTTCTCTTATTTTCCTGTAATATCGCAAGATTGCACTTCGAAAATTGAGGCGGCTCCTTGAAAGACGACGAACTTCGGTTCTCTCGAATATGTCGAGGTATTTGATAGGAAGCAAGCAAACAAGTCAATATATATATATATGTATATATACATATATTGGTTATATGTACGAAATATTCAATCGTGATCTAAATTTCGAAAGATTAGACAAGATCGATTTCGTATATCGTAAAAATGATTGAAAAAAAAAAAAAAAAGAAGAATAAATAATTAAAAATTTGACTCTGATTAAAACACAAAGTAGCAATCAAAAAGGAATCGTTTAATGCGGGTTACGCGTTAATTCTCGCATAAAAGAGGTAAATATAACATAATAGAAGAAAGAGAGAGCTCATATATCTCTCTTCTCTTATTCTTTCTCTTTCTTTCCCACGGCGGCTTAGCGAGAGGTCGTTAATGGATTAGGGCTCGAGAACTCGGTGCGTTCTGGTAAAAGCGATTTTCCATATAAGCGTCCACGGTAAGCGTGTAATCCTTCTGCGTGCGGTGAGTTACGCCAATCGGGTGGACCGTAAATTATAACTTTCGGTCATAAAAACAGGACTATGAAAGTGATTTGCAATGCGGTAGAGAGATATCCCCCGTTTGAGTTGGCCCGAAGGTGGGGCAGATCTCAAATATAATGTGTGAAATGACCGTCGTATTCCTTCTCTCTTTATCTTTCTCTCTGTCTCTTTCTTATGCACTCTTATATGCACTTCTATAAACTCTCTTACGTTCACGTCCACTTTCGTCTCTAATCGCGCACGTTTTAACTCTAAACGGCCAAAGGCAATAATAATAATAATAAAAAGAAGAAGAAGAAGAATTATTCGGTTCAGTAAAAACATTAACAAAGATTACGCAAACATCCGTGCACATTATGAAAATATTTATAATATTAATTATGCAATCTTCGTTCATTATGTGTTCATTAGTTGAATATACTCGACAAAACGACCTAAATCCAATTACGTTTCTCGAATCCTCTCTTACGAACGCTATACTATACACCTAACACAACAAGCATAAACGTAATTATTACTTGCTCGCGCCACGAGTATTAATTTCTTAAACGCTCTTTACATACACCAAGCAGATATCGTTTCAGCACGTTGTTCAACTACCCATAGAGAGAAAGATCCGATTAAACTCTACTCGTTTCTCTTATATCAGAATTACATATATGTTTGCCTATCTAAAATTACTCACATTATTACGTTAAACATTTCTATTACATTATATAATCTCGCTAAATATGTATTTACTAACTTATCGAATTTATAGGATTGCAAATCAAATCGAGTTGAACCGAAACGAAAAAGACGTGCCTTGTCATACGTGTGCGTGCATTTTCATACAGATTAGAGTTAAAGATTTTTTTTAACTTTCAAGAGAAGAAGAAAAAAAGATCATATCTTTCTCATTCGAAACGTGCTTCGTTCGAGTAATAGAATTAGATCTTGATATATATAGGAAATAATCTATGCACATACAGAAAAGCGTTACCTAATTTTCATCCTCTTCTTCTTCTACTTCTTCTCTATCTTCTTTTTCATTTTCTTCTTCTGGGAGGAACCTCTCAACGTTCTTAGAATAATCGTATATAAGAAAATATATGTAGAGTAATAATAAGCTTTTATACTAGCCGGTCGCGATATCGTAAGAGAGGAAAGCGGAATGTATAAAGGGTGGTATGAAACGATAGTCAGGTCATTCGATGAAGGAAAACAATGGTCTCTTTTGATTTACGAACGATATTAAACTGGTAAGCCACGTATGCGTATAGATCTACATATTATACCAATATTCTTGATATTTACTGTACGATCCTAACAGTCGTGGGTATATCTCTAACGTGTTCCGAGAATCTAACTTGCTTCCGTAAATCCTTTGGTTCGTCCACATTGTTCTAACCGAGACGAATATCACCGATCTTCTGTTTTCCACGGTTAAAATTGTCCGAAATGAAAGTACCCTGATATTTAATTCTACGTATCGAATAATATTTTAAAAATATATCTGCTACATAAATCAGAGATGTAATGCGGGTAAAGTAATAAATTAGCTTGTAATGACGAAACGTATCAACTTACTGATAATATACGTAAAACGAGTAAAAGAGAGACCCTAATAAAGGATCGAAAATGAGAATGTAATGCAGAGGCAGTTAGTTCGATCGTTTCGTACGGTTATAATCGAACGACTCGTTTGTGTAATTACATTCGTTAAAATAACTCTGGTTGCCCGTTACACACCGGGCCTTCTTCTCCTCTACGACCATTTTTTGTCACACTTTTCTTCCATTCCGAATGAGCAAGAGAGTCCATCGTGGTTTGCTTCTCTGGCGTTAAGGGTGCCCTTATTCGTCCCGAAACTGCACCTAACTGAGCGGACGAGACTAACGAGAATTATTCAATTAGGGTAGAAGCCTAATTGAAACGAAGAAGAAGATTACGTTGAGACCGGTTAAACACACACGTCAAACTGTCCTCCTCTCTTTGGTTGAACAAGGTCTTAAACTTATGTGAAAGCTGTCATCGCTCTTCTTTCCCTTCTTTTTTCTTCTTTTATTTTCTATCTCTCTCTCTCTCTCTTTCTTATTTTGTATCTTTGACGTTGCTACGAGATATGAACCGACGTTGAAGAAAACATTCTTTAAATAATATAATCCAATGTTGGTATTCTCTTAATTTTTCATACACTAAACTCGTTCGTTTACTTTCGTCCGAGCGGTGAAAGTTCATATCTTGTCTTCTCGACCAGAGATTATGTACCTACATACGTGTCACAGGAAAGAGATAGATAGATGGATAGATAAAGAAAAACAGAAAGAGAGATGAAGATAAAAAAAAAACCGAGAGAAAT